TACACTTTATTCGGTCTATCTGTTGCAATTGTGTGATAGACGATCGTTATTCACGTTTGCGACGCCCACGTTCAAGAGTGCCAGGATTTGTATTAGCACACGGAAAAAAGGGTCAAATCAAAACTTATGTACTTAAACTAACGCGTTCGTTGTTTCGTATACACGCAACAATTTATAATCTTCTTAGAAGAATTTAATAATTTTAAATTTCAACAATATTACAATCTTATTTTAATATTGTAATTGTCACCTCAAAAATATATAATTATTTAAATTTTTCTTTAAAGAAAATTATAATCTTTGATTTAAAAATGTTATTTTCTATCTAACATTGTTTTTTTTCCATTCGAGAAAATTAAATCTTAAATCATAAGAATATATTTTCCTCGATTGAACTATATAAAATGGCTTCATTCAAGTAAGCAATTATTCAAGCAATTATATTTTTCTTTAATTAACGCAATATAACCTCATTTCAAGATTTCCATGTTAAAACTAAATATATTTTCAAAACAAGAATATCCTTTTTTTCTGTAAATGTGGAATGCTATTCCCAGATGTGACAAGTGAAATACAGATAACGAGTAAAAGTATTTTGTTTTGGAAAAGGTCACGATTGAACCATGATGCGATGAAGATCACTATTTCGGGTAGACGTTCGCTTCATACAAGCATAATCGCGAGGTATTATTCATAATGGAGGAAAATATTTTGTTTTTTATCGAGCCTCAAATTCCCTAAGAATAAGAACGTCTTTGGTGATAAGATGGATCAATTTATGAGCTTGACTCATATATGAGCCGTTGTTGATCCAACTTATCACTAAAGATCCACAATCAGAGCAAGACAGAGAGAGAGAGAGAAAGAGAGAGAGAGAGAGAGAGAGAGAGAGAGAGAGAAAGAGAGAGAGAGTCGAGTTGCTATCGTATAATTTTTATATCTTATATTTTTATTCAGTTATCTCTCTCTCAGAGCTTTTATCATCTTTCGAAAAAAAAACAGTTTCTTGTTTTCTAATTGATTTTAAAGAAATTAATTGATTAAAAGCACTAAAGAATCCGTGCTCTCCTGATATAATTTACATTATATGAGGGGAATACATGTAGGTGTTCCTGTGACGTAATCATGATATTTAATAAAATTCTAATATTTCAGATTGTTTTAATGAAAATTTTGAATATAGAAACTATTAATCGCGCAGAGAGCTGGGCTTTATCATTTATACCGTCACGATTCCTCCCCTCCTGGTTCTTAGAATGCATTATCGATTGCATACAAGAATTAAATCCGTGTAACATGCGAGATATCTATAATTATCTCATTCGAGTAGCATAATTTTCCGGAATCATTTTCGGAGTCATTCGAGTTCCCGCGAATTTTGCATAATACTTTCCAATATCGTATTCGCTTATTAATTCATCGTGCAAGACCTTTCGTTGTGTACCAACAAAGCCGCGAGTCACCCACGCATCCGGTCTCTTCCGTTAATCTTTAATTGCGAGTCTCCTAACCGACTGTTCCGATATAGGCTACGTCAAGAGTGTAAAATGTAACGTAACAAAAAGGACAATAATCGTGTCTATCGTAATTAGCCGTCCTTTGCTCCACTATTTCCATCTAAAATTCCTATGCTCAACTCCCACGCATTCCATTGTGACGCATCAAACGTTGCTCTGGACACTGTTGCGAGAGATTTAGATGCGCGAGTACCTGTATAATAGCCATACCTGGATGTAGTTTGCGTAACGTAAGCGTTTTCAGATACCTGGCATTTTCTCGTAGCTAGATTTATATCTAGATGCATATGTATAATTTCTAAAGGCCCTTTGAAGATTCTATCTTCCATATTATATGGAACAGGAAAATAATTTGACGGGGCTAAAATTGGAAAGGAACGTACGGTAAAAGCAGCAATAAATTATACAACTATAAAACTAATATATTTTTACATCTTCCATATATACACGGTCCTGATAGATTGCAGAATTTTAACAGCTATATAAAGAAGAAAGAGAATCGTGACAGACGATCCTCTGCTATTTTCGACCTGTTAAAATTAGAGGTGTAATTTTAGACGAGTTAGGTCGATTGGCTTCGACTTTTTCCAGCGATAGAAACGTGAATTATGTAAATCCATCCGAGCACAGGTCGGAGACTTTTCGGAGAAAGTCGAGATTGCGGAAGGTCGCAAAATCTCTCTCCCGGTGTCCCGTTCACGTGTGCATGCGCACCTTTCACGGATCTCGCGGATAAATTTCAAAGAGAGTTCACGGCGAGTCGAGCGGAAGCCGGAAATGACGTCGAGGAGGCAAGATCGCTGGATTCGGAAATTTCGGCTCTCGCGACACGACCGACGTAGAGGCCAGCAGCCCCTCTCTCTCGTCCGCTTTAACGTTTAAAGCCTCCGCAACTCCGGGCATTATTGACGTTAGGGCGAACCCCAGGGGGAGGAGGGGGCGGGGGCGGGCGGGCGGGCGCGCGCGCGCGACAGGACGAGCGGTGCCGGGTGCTCACCTTATCCGGCACCCACGCGGATCGAATCCAATTCGTCGGCACGCGTCGGATACCCGCGGAAGGTCACAAACGCCCGCGGCCCTTTCCCGACCTTCCCCTCTCCTCTCCCCGCCCCTCCCGCTTCTTCACCCCCCCGGCCCAGCTTCACGCCCTGTTTCAACCCTCGCTCTCCCTCCCCGTCTCCCCCTTTTCCCTCGCGCCTTCCAGCCTTCACTCGCCCCCCCTCCACGTCGCCTCTCTTTCACCCTCGCGCTCCCCCCGCTCCCCTCCCCCTCCCGCGGGGGGAGGGGTAGCGCGATAAAGCGACGGCCGCGCGATCGAACGCGAAAATCTTCAACGACAGCCGCCCAAATGAATGGAATGCCGACCCACGCCTGTCCCGCACGGCCGTCTGATAGGCTGTCGTCCCCTCTTGCGCGAGGGAAGAGAGAGAGAGAGAGAGAGAGAGAGAGAGAGAGAGAGAGAGAGAGAGAGAGAGAGAGAGAGAGAGAGAGAGAGAGGCAGAACGAACGGATGAGTAAGCGAGGGTGAGCGAGAGCGGACCGAATCGAGCTGAGCGCGATGAACGGAGGACAGGCGCTTCGCGTAAACGGTAAGGGCCAAGGCCGTATCATTCGACGGCGCGTCCTCCCCCGCGTGATTTACGTCGAGCCCTTTTACGAGCCGCGTAAACGTGATCGTGGATCACGAGACGCGCGTCCGACGAGGGGATCGTTCTCCCGTCGAAGCTTGATTATTTATTTGATTCGCTTCGGTTATTTAATCTTCCTCCGCAGGAAAATTTCAATTTTGCAATTGTTAATTGTATCCCAAAGTCAAGAGTCTTGGATCCGTTTGAAATTAGTCGATAATTGCGATTCTTTTTTTATTACTTCGATTATTTAATCGCAACATCATTCGGATGATTTTGTTACGCGAATTAATTATTTCAATAAGGGAACACGTTACACGTGTACGTCAGGGGTGTTTATTACTACCTGTTAATATCTGTACGTTATTCCGTGATAATGGATAATAAAGTTTGAATAATTATATGGAGATTTGATATTTTGCAATTTATGATGAGACTTTACGTTCATTTGTCGGAGGTAATGTATTTCCGGGTAATATATATAATGTAATATATTGTAATTGCAATACATTTCAATTAATAATTCGATATCCAGCGCGTGATTAATAAACTATTTATATTATCGAGACTCTCAGTCATTCGATATTATAACGTCACTGGAATCACAAAATTGTCTACATTTTACATTGCAAAATTTACAACGTCCTTTGTAGCTTTTTCTCAAATCGTTTTGTGCTCCACACGTATTTATATCGCGTTTCCTTCTTTTTTCCTTGATAAATAAATATGAGAAATTCCTTATTTTTTAAACTTGATAAACAAACTCTAAACAAAAATATTTTCATTCCATTTTATACATCTCGCACTTTTATTCTTGCGTATTAATCATTCAATCATTATATATTATACGAAATGGTTGCGTCATAAAATTTTGCAACGTCCAAAACGTTTACATCACACATCAATAAACTTAATAGCACAAACTTATATTAACAGCATCTATATGCATTCTTCCGTGCAAGACACAGCCAGGATCGATCCCGTGAGGTCATTGTTTTGTCATACAAATGAGAAATCGTTACTCGAGTATATAGTACTACGTGCGCTGCATGGGCTTTAGGCGTACTACGCGAGAACGTCGATAGAATTACACAATCGTGCAGCACGCGATATCGCGGCTTATCGATCGTAGACGGAAAGAGACGTCCTGATAAAAATTACTATATTTACAACCAAAATAAATGCAACTCCCGACTTCGATATCCGCACGAATAAATAATAAACAGATCCCGGATAGAGAGCAAATAAATGCAATATTACAATTGTCTAATCGAAAACACGATTCGACGTGAATACAGAGAGGAAACGGTGACGCGTATTCTTACATGACGAACGGATAGATGATAGAAAAATATAGCGATATTGATTCTATCGAGCCAGAGGGAAAGAGAGAAGGAGAGAGAGAGAGAGAGAGAGAGACGGGAATCGCACCAACATCGACGCAGGGGTGACGGGAATCGTCGTATTCGGCCCTGTCGACGAGCAGCACGTGCACGCGGGTGTGCGTGAGTGTCGCAACGGGAGGGCTCTCTCCTTGTCTCACGATAATACGCGCCCACGCACGCGTGAGAGAGCGCGCGTGCAACGCACGGTGTCCCCCCTCCCCCTCCCACCGCGCGAGGCCACTCGGAGCCGCTTCAACGACGGCTCAGTCAGCACCGACCCCCGACACATCCACTACCCACGCCTCGTTAATGAAAACATCTTTTGTCAATGAACTGACGTCAGCGCGCGCGCCGATTGGCCGGCCGCGCGGGCCCACGTGACCGCCGACGAATCGCGCCGCGCGTCCGCGCGTCTCCCGCCCTTGGCGCGACGCGCCGAGCGCCCGTTTCGCTCCATTCTCGATTGACTCTCGACGGACGGACGCTCGAGATAAGGTGTGGCCTGTGGCGAGAGTGTATCGCGTAAACGAAGAGAGAGAGACAGAGAAAGAGAGAGAGAGAGACAGAGAAAGAGAGAGAGAAAGTCTTTCACATACTTGTCAAAGTTGACGCCATCGACTCTTCTCTTCCTCGGAATCGGGGAAACCGTCGACGGGGATCTCGGACCTCGGAGTCGCTGTCGGAGGAGTCGATGAGGTGAGAAGCGAGAGGAGAAGAACGGAGGGAAACTGACGGAAGCGGAGGAGCCCGTCCGTCAGCTCGAACTACGCTCTGAAGGCAGCAGCGAGAGGGAGCGAGAGGGAGCGAGAGCGCGAGCGAGAGGGAGCGAGAGCGCGAGAGGGAGCGAAAGGGAGCGAGAGCGCGAGCGAGAGGGAGCGAGAGGGAGCGAGAGCGCGCGAGCGAGCGAGCGACAAGGATGGCAGCACTGTTGTTGGCGCGTCGCGACGACAGAGCTCGCTCGCGCGAGCGCTCGCTTGGAGGGTTAAGATAGAGCGAGGTGGACATGCGTCTGTTGAACGGCGAGCGTGAACCTTCCGCAGCAGCCGTGCCGTTCGTTGGACGCGTCGTTTTGATTCAGCGAGGGATCGATAACCGGGACGACCTGGCGGCGACGAGGACGAGGACGACGACGACGAGGACGAGGACGAGGACGAGGACGACGGCGGCGGCGGCGAGAGTGGTGATGGTGGTGGTAACGGCGGTGGTGGCGGCAACGGCTCCGAGAGAGGAGGAGGACGAGGAGAAGGAGAAGGAGGCGGAGTAGACTCACACACATATGCGGTACTGTAGTGTCGCAGGAAATGATGGCAACGCGTGAGAACTCGTCGGGCCGCGCCGTCGACGGGTGAACGTTGCTTCGTCCGGATGAGGCCATCGCCGTCCGATTCCAAGTGCCATCTCTTCCAGGTATCCAGGAGAGCGTTCATCGTAGTAGACGCGTGGACGCGGATCTGGCCAGCCACTACGGGTCACAGGGCGCGCGCGCGCTTTTATGTACATAAACTCCGTCGACTGGACGTCGTGGAGGACGCGCGAAGAGGCTGACGACTCCCTGGATCCCGATGGGCGACGGGCGCAGCTTGGAGTCTGTTGATGGTGCGATCGTGGAATCCATGTGTGGATACCTGGAGGCTTCTAGGGTGACGACGAGCGAGGATCGTCGTTGGAGCGATTATCGTGGCAGAACGATGACGCCCTGACAATGTCACGTCGCCTCGTACGATTTCTCGCGGAGGTGCAGTGTCCAGAAGTGACAGGACTTGGATGCTCGAGGGTCTCGACAGTTTATCCTTGCGAGAGAGACAATTCTCAGTGATCGAGGGAGGAATCGTTGAGCCTGGGAGCTTGCTTTTCGCGGGACGAGACTCGACGAGCGCCGTCCACTTGGGGAAATAGAAGAATATAAGATGCCAGGTAGCGGCGGTGCGATGGAGGAGGATCTTCTGGATCCAGAATGGTTGTTCAGAGAGCTCAGGTCGCAGAACGGCCCCAACAAGCTTCTTATTCTAGATTGCAGAGCACATTCTGACTTCTCCGATGCTCATATTAGAGGCTCCGTACCTCTGGCCATTCCTAGCATCATGCTGCGAAGATTGGCTGCTGGTAAAGTGGACCTCCTGTCCACGATAAGGTGCTTAGATCTGAGAAACAGAGTGCAGGTGTTTTTGTGCGGAGATGAAAACAGTAGAGGGACATTTGTACTAATCGGTGACTCTACAGATCCTGCGGGCCATCAGGGTGAAACAATACAAGTTTTGAGCCGGAGACTTAAAAGCAGCGGTGGCAATGTTGCCATTTTAATTGGTGAGAATGCATCTTTATACGACAGCAAATTTTTATTGACAGCAGTTCAGTTTCTATTTGGATCATTTGTCCTCTAAGTTCAATTAATAGTTGGATACTTACACCAAGTTGTCATGTCTGGAATGTTTTCATTGGTTTGCTCTTTAAGGTGATTGTACATAAATATAGATTTGAAAGCATTACAAATATACAATATTGGTATCAATATCAGTATTACTTGTTATAAATATATTTGATTAATATTGCTTGTTATAAATGTATAATATTAATATTCAGATTATTGTCAAATTATTGTTATAATGCCAATTTTTTGACATAATTAGTTTAGTTTGTATAGTTTGTTGGACAAAGGTTTTTAAATTTAACTGCATCACACAATATTTGCTAATTATAACTCAGCATCCATATTATTTTGTTTGTCACACATACACATACATGCATAGATAGCAATGGTAATAGTGGTATGGAAGGCTTTCAGAAGTAACAGCTGAAGCACAGAGACTGGTTGTGAATGAAATATTGATTTATGTGGGAGGCATTCCAGTAGAACCAGACACTTAATTCTATACCCTGCCTTTATCAAGCCTCTAGATAAGACTAGCCATTCAATGTTTTTATTTGACACAAGCAATTTACTAATTATATATATATATATATATATATATATATATATATATATATATTTATGCAAAATGAATACAAAAACAATAAATACTTTAAAATAGATGTAAAAGAAAATAAAAATTGCATATTTATGTACATCATATTTTCCTTTTTCAAAAAAAAATATAACATTTTTTTTTATATAATTGTTAGCATCTATTTAATATATATAATGATCTCTATAATATTATATATAAAGTTTTTCTGTTTAAAAGATATAATATGATAGTTTTATATATTATATTTTTCTCATATAATTTTGAGAGAATTAATTTCCAAATTTATTAATCCGCTGACACAACATTTTCAATAAGCTTGTTATTAATATATGAGCCAGAAATTAAATAGCTTTGCATATGATAATACAGTGAGAATAATAATAACAGTTATATATATAATAAATATATAAAATATATAAAAAAATATATAAAAAATTTTATAAATTAATAAATTTAGAAATTTAAAATTAATAAATTTTAGAATATCTTTTTTTAAATTATGTAAAAAATGAAATGAAATTATATAAAATTGTTATATCTTGAACAGAGAAATTTTATATATACAATATTATAGAGATTATTTTATATAAATAGAACAGTGTAAAATTTTTCATTGTTTTAGATAAAGATCTCAACTTGGTTTTATGCAAATAATTATTGTTATGTTTATTTGTAGATGGTTTTGGAGCATTCAGAGATAGATATCCAGAATGGTGTGAGGGTAGTCAAGCTAATAATGAACGTGCCCCAGGTCAGGACAATAATGATGGTGAATTAATGGGCCTTAGATCCCTTCGGATATCCACTCCGCCGACTAGGTCCTATTCGGATTCGGATAGTGACAGCACATGCGATTCAGTCGGTGAGTGTAAACATTCTCAGAGCATGTATTCGTGCATGTAATTGATGAGAATTGTGTAACGATAATGCATAGTAATGAAGAATAATATAATGCATGAATATCATAATACAATAACGGCGCATAATAGTAAAAAATAATACGGTATAACGGTATTAAATTTCTGCTATTATATTCCAGGTCCCGAGGAAGATAAAGATTTTCCCGTGGAAATTTTACCTCATTTGTATCTCGGTAACGCGGCTAATAGCGAGGATCGTGAGGCTTTAGCGCGACACAGGATACAGTATATACTCAATGTGACACCGGATTTACCAAATGTGTTTGAAAGCGCCGGATTAATAAAGTACATGCAGATACCAATAAGTGATCACTGGAGTCAGAATTTGGCTAGTTTCTTTCCGCAGGCGATTCAGTTCATAGGTAAGTAATAGCGTGCCTCGGATAATTTTTATTAAAAATATCGTAAATATAATATTACAAGTTAAGATAAATATACATATTTTTATTCTATCTGATCTTAAGATTTAAAAAAAAACATTTATAAAATAAATCGTTTTCTTTATAAGTATGTTTGAAAGAAAAAAATATCCTTTTTTTGAACGTCTCATGAAACGCACGAGAGCAAAAGCAGCAAAAGGAAAGTAAATGTTTCTCGGAAAAAGAAATTCTCAGCTATTAATTAGCGTCTCCTACACGATATGTTTATTCTCTCTTCAATGGATGTTTCGTCATCGTGTTTTCCTGGAGTTTATTATATTCCAATGCACGATTGCTTTTTATAATGTAAATTAATTTCTCACTCACGCGAAGTTCAGCAATTACCATAAATATTTTGCATCTATCAAAAGATATGTAATAAAAGAGATTTTTTATGAATACATAAAAGGAACTTATATATGAAAGAGTTTTTGTATACAATTACATAAATATATCGATGATTAATGTAATTATGACACACATGTAATTTTGTCCTGTATTAATAAGAGAGATTTTCTTGTTTTCCTTTGTTACTTTTGCTTTACAATATAATTTATGCCTCGTATCATTTTATTGCAGTGTGTAAGAAAAACGCGAGCTTTTTCTGCGTCAAAAATTCTCAGTTCGAACCGCGCTTCTTAAACAGGATTTCCTGTTTAAGAAAGTCCCCGCGCGCCCAACTTCTGAAAGGGGCATTCTTATAAATAGGTTCGCCTAAATAGAAACTTTCCCACGTGGCGGGCAAACCGTGCTAGACAATTAAACAACGGATGTCCGGTTAGGCCGAGAGCTATACTTAAGTCTGAATGGCGAGGCTTGGCATTGCTATTGAGCCGGTCTGGCACTTTTGACTGTCTCGACACACTTCACTCTTGGCAATCCGGCTGCCCTTTGTTATCGTCATTTACACAAATTTGTCGTGACATACATTGTTTTCCTTGGCATGTTTTTATTGCATACAAACACACGCATATTCATATACAATTTTCAAGTTAATTAATATTAAATATTCACAAATATAACATAGAGTTGATGATGGTTAATAATTAATTTTATATTACATGTATATCATATTAATTGAATAATGACTATCAAAGAGAATAGCGTTATATCTCAATATTTCAACAAATATCTTTCTTTCTATTGATTTATTCGAGAGATCGCTTCGCGTTATATAAACTTTGGAAAATCAAAATAAGCTTACATCTTTTACATTTAATGTGTTGTCAAAAAAAAAAAAAATAAATAAAATTATGTCAAAAAAATAAATAAATAAAATTATATTTACGGTAATTGATGAAATTTATGATTGCGGGATTAAAATCGCGATATTTTTCAGAAGAAGCACGGAGCTCAGACAAGGGAGTGCTGGTTCATTGTTTGGCCGGAGTATCACGGTCTGTCACGATCACCGTGGCTTATCTCATGCACAAGTGCAGCCTCAGCCTGAATGACGCTTTCAACCTAGTACGTAGTAGAAAGTCCAATGTCGCACCGAATTTTCACTTCATGGAACAGTTGCACAGCTTCGAGAGGGAGTTGAGGGATCGAGGGGGAGATCGGCAAAGTAACAAGAACAATGATCAGAGGTGCATCGGGGCGTGTCGGCCTGATGGGCCCTGCAATTGTCCGGCGCCCAGCTTCCTGAGTCCCATCGATCTGGGCCTCAGTCCTGATTCGGGCATCGAGTTCGACAGATGGGCAGCGAGCACTCCGGCCGAATGAGACGGGCCTGGGGGGACCCAATACAAATTTTAGGTCCCTCCGTCACACGCGTCTCCTTAGAGAAAAAATCCTGATTGAAGGGTGGTTACGATAACGCGCTTTATCATTCTGACACGTGAGAGACGAGCATCGAAATTCGGCCCTCTCTTTGCTTCCGGTATATCTCCAGATAGAGTAGGATGTTAGACGCACGTTCGACAAATGCTAAGATGTACGTAGCTCTATTAGAGGCATCCAAAGTTGGTTATTACACCGGCACTTTTCTTCCTTCTAATTTCTTGTTTCTTCCCGTCGAGCCTCTCATTCCTACAACATGATTATACGACGTTACAAATTAACGATAAATTAAATGTAAATTATTTAAATTCTCACTACAAGTTGAATTCTTTTGAAAAAATTAACTTTTCGAAATACGCAGCACCATTCAATATTCATCATATTCAGTAATTATACATACTATGACGGATTAAGAATTTATGAAATCATTTCTAAAGATTTCTTTTTATTAAGCTTTAATATTGTTACGTGATTATAACTGCTTATTGTAGTAAATATGCGAGTAAATTTTCGACAAAATTTTGATATAATATAGGAATGAGAGGATTAATATACCCTTCAAAAAAAGGAAATATATTAAAGAAAAATTATCTCTTTGTTAGACAATTAGCTCTTCAGCCTATGCGTTGGGTAATAATGCGCTGCGAGATATATCTGCAGCAGCGAAGCTTGTCTATCTTGTTGAAATTTTCAATTACGAAGATTTGGCACGTTACGTTACGCCGTCGAATCACGATAATATGATGCGGTCGTGTTGTGACTTACGGGGAGATTAGATGATATAACACTTTTCATGCCCAAATATGTAAAAAAAAAAATAACAAAAAAAAGGAAAACTTTACAATTCTCCTTTCTAACTTGTCGTGGCAGCAATGGACACTGAAAGTATTTTATAAATGAGATCCCGTAATTTCTCATCGTGCAACAGTTGCGTCGTAATCGTAATTGTACAATTCTGACATTATGCTTCCAAGTTTCGAGAAATCTTTAGCGTGTATGATTGTAAATGGTATGCGAGATGTATCAGGATTCAGGCACTGTGTATTTGAAAAGATATGACGTAACATGTACCATCATATCGAGAGAGAAAGAGAGAGAGAAAGAATGAAAGAACGTATGTATGTAAGAGAGAGAGAGAGAGAGAGAGAGAGAGAGAGAGAGAGAGAGAAAGAAAGAGAGAGAGAGAGAGAGAGAGAGAGAGTTCTAAAACATATATATACATATATATATATATTTTAATACTTCTTCCCCCGAATCCTTCAATTAATGAGGCTGTGTTTATTTTACCGCAAGCGATATTTCATGCGCGAAGTAATCTCTAAACGACGAATTCCCACCAGGCAATCACAAGTATAGTCGAAGATAAACATCACCGCTTAGTATATTAAGTTCCGTGGTACAAAATTAAGAGAGGTCCTATATATATACACATATATATATACACACAGGAGCGAATTTAAGCGGAATTTTACGTGGACAGTTTTCAAGAATGGCCTTCAAAAATTTTGTCATTGAAGGATCGAGGTTGCTCACAGCAAATTCTCATTGATATTACTAAAGTGTCGAGCATTTCCTTTCGGAAATAAACGTTTCCGAATTTTTAAAAGCCGGAGCAGAAAGTGAAGTTGTGCGTTTCAGACCGTTTCTTAAATCCGCTCCCGGAATCTTTTACTCGTCTGGTAGTTTGTATAAAAGATAAAGCTCGCGAGAGAGTAATTTTCAACATAGTTTGTCGACATACACACTGAAGTGACTTATCTCACCAAGGATAATCGCCTCAATGCATTTTCACCTTCGAGATGCGCGAAAGGTATATGCACGTCGCCTCAGGTACATATGCCAGTTAAACTTAAGTTTAAGGGAGGACACACATCTTAGAAAAATCAGTGCATTTCTGTAGGGCATTCCGAATCTCTCCTGCTCATGAGAAAAGTCAGGCTTGTCACCGATATAGGAAACTAATATCCGAGCCAATTCTCGGAATGATAGATATGTGTGAAGGCGTTACTTGTTTTTTATTTTCATCGATTCAAGATGCAAAGCGTTAAAATCGGCAAGAGAAAATGTAAAAAGTTGAAATAGATTACTATCATATTAGTAAAAATATGTTTGAAATATTTGCCATAAAAAAGATTGATTTTTTTAAAAAGATCTATTTGCTGTCAAGGTAATTTTTAATTCATTTAATTTTAATATTTCGTTTCAATGATTAAAATTTGTTCTTTTCTTTTTTAATAGTAAAATAAAATTTCACTATTAAAGTAACGCCTTCAAATAATCGGTAGTCGATTTTGTTATTAATCAGAATCCGTCGTCATTGCTACATACATAGAAATCTGAAAGATAATGGTTCCTGCACACATTAGATTTCTGGCATCAGAACATTAGCCCTCTTCAGATTTTTTATATAGATACTTTTCTATACGAGAACACATTTTTGGGCCTGTGCATTCATATTGTAAACGCATCTAGCTGTATATTGCGTAACAACTCGTGCGCCAAATTGAACTCTGAATTGTACGAGAATCAGCACTGTTTATCTCACAGATCTCAGATATATATTGAAAGTTATTTTTGTAAAGAAAACGAAAAGAAAAGAAATGCATTCACATTCCCATAACGAGCCAGAATGGCCTGTGACACTGTAACTACCTTTTCATGTACTACTACATGTACCGTTCATTGAGCATAATTGAAGTTAATATGAGTGTACAAGTGAATGTTATTTTTTTCGTGTAATAATTAACTGCAAGAGTTATACAGTAATTAATAGCTCTTGGCTATTGCGGGAGTAAATTGATATACAATTAAGGAAATATATATTTGACGTTAATGTAATAACCATATTCTACTATTACACTGTTGTCTGTTGTATGTTTACTGGGCGCGCGATGCCCGAGAAATTTAATCAAATATTATGTATATTATATATATAAATTATTATTTTATATTCGTCGTTGTATATATATTTTAACTAATTTTCATTATAGAAATACAACTTATCTTACCTGAACTACAATTAATCAATGTCATTTAAGCAGGTCATCTACATTCCACGCATGTAACTTTCGTCTCTTATTTTCCGAGTTTATTTGATAATGTAAAATGAAATATATGCGTTACACGCACATTGTATATCTGCCATATGATAATATTAATAATTAATTTAGTTTCCATTATCTCGATGCGTATCAATTTTAATTTTTATTCGTATATTGCAATCATGTTAATTAATTCATAGTTTTGTACTTCCTATATAAAATCAATTATAAAATCTGGAATGTGTAAAAAATTTCTTTGAATCTTATTTATATATATATATATATATATATATATATATATATATATATGTATGTATGTATGTATAATTTTGATGTCTTTATTTATTAAAAATATTTATACTTATTTCATAAATAATAAAATTAAAAGAATTTCATAAAAAATTAAATTAAATTAAAAAGTAGATAAAAGAACATATCGTTCCACTTTAATTTCAGAACAGTCAACATTAAACATACATTAAACGATATCTGCAAAAAATATTTTTTCTTAATAAATTGTAACTATTTAATTAAAGACATAAATTGTTAATGTATCATTTATACAATTTTAACTGAATAATTTGGCTAATAAATTATACATGGATTTTCTAAAAGGATATTTAATTTATATAGAGCAATCTTAAAAATTGTGTATATTATTTAAAAACATCTTGTATTGTTTTATGTCTTTCTTATCATATAAATCAATAAACACTTTTTTTTCGAGTACATTCTGCAATTATGTGGAAGAGCATAGCACATATCTAAATAATCAAATATATGATAAATAAATTTCAATTCAAAAATGCATTTTTATTTCTTTTACTATATTTTATGAATTGAATAACCAAACTATAAAACATGCATGTGTGCAAACTTATTTTTTACTTTTAATTGCATTTACTAAAATTATATATTAGTGCAGGTTTTTAGAATTTTTTTATTTTAAAGTAATAATTTTCATTAATTATAATCTTTTCAATGTTTTTCTTTTTTATTAAAATTTATTTTTATAATAGTTGTATGAATAGAGTGTATCCCAAACATTCGTAAGCGCATTAAATAATCAAATCGATAATCTGCTTGGAACAGTTTACTAATTTGTTTGTCGTACTAAGATCAGTCGCGCTTTCCGATAGAGTTGTAAGAACGTTCAAAGCAGTTTCGGATTGTCGCACAGCGGTAATTAGTTCGTTACGATCACTAGGATCTGCTGTAGCGGCCAATAACGTCCCCAGTCCAACTAGAGCTCTAAATATTGCTTCGGGCTCGTTCAAACGGGGTAACATGGCAAATAATACATTCAGTGCTCTCGTTCTAGCAGGCATATCGTTATACTTATTTAATGCTACGATCAGATTCAAGATATACGTCGATATTGCGACCTGAAAAAAATATTTTAATTTACAGTTCTTACGCTATTTGCAATTATATTGTAAAAGATTAGTTTATTTGAAACTGTAGTGATTTACATTTGCGATTTTATTTGAATCATTTATTAATTATGTAATTTAGACTCTTGCCGGCCTCTTTTCTTTCAATAATTATTTTAATTGTTTAACATGACACATACTTGATTATTTTTGTTTCCAAACGATTGCAGATCCAACAGAGACTTCAGTATCTCATCTCGATGATCGAGACAAAGTTTTTCCCCTTTTTCATGCTGGAACATATTGGCTATCAATCGGAAGGTGAGCATTTGGTTCGATGGAGTCGCATCAGATTTGATGTGCCTCTGTATGACTGGCAACAGTTCCTCTGTACACAATTGATCGTTTATTTCTTTATGAAGCACAGCGAGTCTCGCTATATCCAACGCCGGAAATACTGTATCATTCGGCCAATCTAAAAGATTCTTTAGCGCACTAATAGCGCTGGCCTTAACTTCCTCGGACACTTGACCGCCTACGAGTTTTCCTATCGCATTTAATTTCTCCTCTGGTACTTTATACATACTTTCTTGTTTAACGTTTAACTCGTTTAATTTTTCTACAATACAAACACAGAATAAAATACAATTGTATATCTTGTGTTATTTCTAATTATCTTAAACTTAATTACCCAAAATGGCAGACATATTTGCTTGTTCTAATTTTAAATACCTCAAGTGAGGTATATAGGAAGGTGATGCAGATGTGTTGGAAGAATTAAACATCGATGATTGTACAGTAACGTTGGATGTACTAGACGATGTTCCTGATCCAGGAACATACCTGTTTCCTCCTGTAAAAGGATCTACATATTGAGATCCAGTAGTCAAAACTGGAGCTGACTCAGAATTCTTCACTATGAAATTTGCAACCTGAAACAAAGTATACAGATAATTTCACTTTTTATTCAGATTTGCTATTTTATAATTGTCCTTTAAATAAAGCAATAATGAAAGAAGTTACACTTATCATTCATTATATAAATAATATTGTATGATAAATTAAAATAACGCTGTTCAAAATAGATACCTGATCTAAATATAATTGACTGAGATTATTGTCATGAAGGAACTGTTGTGCAACATGCCAGGGATCTTGATCTTTGTTATATGGAAGCTTTAAAGGTGGCACGCCGTCTTGTATATCAACCGAAAAAACATAATCATATTCTATGCCATTGTAAAGTTGTTTTCCGGATGTAGCCGCGGTACTGCCGGATGCACCCATCACATCGCCAATTTTTATCCACCGTTGCTCATTTTGCGACCAACTATACGCTCTAACTGCATCCCCTTCATTCACAATTTTTGTTTGGCCATCTCGTTGGCCAGGTTGTAAAAGAACTTTTGCATCTGGTAAACTATTTACAAAATTAAAATTAATAATGTGAGTAGAAAGATTTTTATTTTATATTTAAAAGGAAAAAAAAATGATTAACTCTTTTATATTGATGTCTCCAATTGCTTGCTGTGCATTCAGAGTAGTATTTGCCACTTGCTTTTCAAACGCTTCCAGTGTTTCTGAATTCGCGTATCTTTCGGGATTGGACGAAAATATTCTAACAGCCCCATCGGAACTTCCAGCGACTATGTCACCATTTGAGAACAACTCAATACACCATATTGATTGCGTCGGCAGAACAATGGTTTGACTCAGTTCCGCATTGTACCATACTCTAACAGTTCTGTCTTCCCCAGACGAAAAAACATATGTGCCATTTGGAATAGCTGCTATACTATAGATGTAATTCTCGTGCCCACAGTAAGTGCCTAAACAGGTCCCAAGTTTGGCGTTCCAGTGCCTTATAGTAGCATCGTTGGCGCACGTTAAAAACTCGTCCTCTTTTATATCAACTATGTCACGAATACAGTCTGTATGTCCTGTTAATTTATGTTGTATCGAACCATTTTTCGCCCACACTATTACCAATTTATCGGCCGATCCAGTCACTATATTGCCATTTAATAAATCTGCTACACACCATACAGCAGCAGTATGACCCGTGAGGTTCAGCTGAGGTTTACTCAAATCTCTTACGTCCCATAACTTAGCAGTAAGGTCCCAGGAACTCGAAAGAAACGTATCATCCTTCTTACCAGTCCTCAGGTTGCACACTGTATTCTGATGCGCTGTTATTGTATGCACTGGTACTGTTTCATCCATTATATAAACACATATAGTATTGTCATTGCTACCAGTTATGATGTACCCTTTGGGATTTCTTTCTGATGGGTTTATAACGCATACTGAACTGACAAAGTTAGAGTGGCCTGTCAATATTGCGCTCTGCTCGTACTTGTTATCTTTCCTGCAAAATTCTAAATGTTAATACACTTAAATACAGTTACAATAATTCTACTATCTGACAATAATCTTTATTATAAATGTATAATAAAATACATGTAATATATGATAATATATAATAAATAAATATAATATATATAAATAAAATATATAATATATATAAAATATATAATAAATAAATGTAATATATAATAAAATATAATATTCTTAAGATCAATATTAGAGGGTCAGAGTGATATGCATTAAATATAAGACTGATTAAAAAATATACTTCATCAAATATAAGACTGATTTTTTTTAAGCCAACTTTTAAAAGACAATTAGTCTCAAAACAAACATAAATAGACGTCATTTCGAAGGAAGGTCAGCAATAATATTTAGATAAGATTCTGCCAGAGAGGGAAACATAGTTCCATGAAAGGATTGAGAGAATTGAAGCGAACAGGTTGGAAAACTCAGACGTTACGAGTCCTCGGAGACTCCGTACGAGTTTTCTCCGAGAAAGTACCAACCCGGTCGGCTTCCATACGCGCGCCGTCTTGTCCCGGGAGGCGGACACGACGGTCCCGTCGACGAAGGTCGCCACCGCTCGCACGTCCGCGGAGTGACCGAGCAGCACGCTGCTCAATTTGTACGGTGGCTTGTCCATGCTGGCACAACACGGTCTTCCCGTCTCGCTCTCGAGCCAGAACACGCAAAGACACGACAATTTTGCCCGACTACGCGTTCGTCCACGTTCCGCATAAATATCGCTTCGCGCGCGCCCTGATGACAGCCATGATGACAGATGCAATCCGAGTCGAGCGTGCACGCGCCGCGCTATCGGTAAAAAAAAAGAAGGCTCAGAATCGTCGATAAGGGGGGAAACTTCTTTGGGTACCATGTCACACACCATGTCGATAAATTGTGGTTCTGTTCCATGTTACGTGCATCAAATGTCGATAACATGAGTTAACGCCTGATGCAAGACGATTATGGCCCGGTTCCACAACTCGAGTTAATCCGAATTTAATACGTTAAACTGGGTCCATTCACTACTTAAACTCGGATTAATTGGATTGTGGAACTGGGCCTATGTATATATGTTAAATAAATTTTGAATATAAATAAGTTTTGTATAGTTATTTTAATTGCAAAATTTTCATTACTCCAATTAAAATTATGTTTAAATGAATAAAATGCATTTTATTTTATGGTAAAGAGATATTATGAATTGAGAATATGTATGCAACATTTCCATACATTGTTTTTCACAAAAAACGATATACGAAATGCAATATGCAATTTTTGATCGGAAATAAGTTAGCGCTAGAAGTTCATATTTTTTAATAAACTAGCTCAAACGATTGCTTTTCTTAATTGCTTCGTCTCTACAATTGTTCTCCTTTTAAAATTAATAATTCTTTTAATATTTATAAAAAAGTCATACATATCTATAACGTTGTCAATATTTGATGATTTTTCGAAATTATAGATTGTACTTAATTGTGTGTAAATATTGCACATTAGCTTTATTAAATATAGTTAGTGGAGATAGAGCAATAAATATAGTTTATTTTTGCAACTGCACACTTTTGTAATCAATATAATTTGAATATACAGTAAGTCAATAAATATAAAAATAAAAAATATGTATACAGGGTGTCCCAGACCACCCGTCTCACCCGATTTTTTCGTAAACGCGACATTGTAAAGAAAAATGTTTCAGACAAAAGTTTTGTGACTTCGAGGGGGACATAAGATGGTGTCATTGGTTTGACCTTGGATAGTCGTTTGAAGATCACGTGAAGGTCACCTTTAATTTCTTAAATTGAACCCACTATTTTTCATTACATATTCTTGTAGCTTATCTCGAGAGCTTTCCAAAACACTACAGACAAATGTTTTTTCATTAAGTACTTTTTGAGTTATAAGGCTTCAAAGTTTGCAGTACTTCGATATAAAATGCAAAATATCTCGTAAAATATTTAGTTTTCGGTAGTCTTACCCTAATACTTTTATGCACAGGATAATGAGACAAAACTATTGATACAAAGAAAACGCATGATTGTTTATAACAAAAAGTGCATTGCAAATTACACATTTTTTATTATAAACAATCATACGTTTTCTTTGCACCAATAGTTTTGGCTCATTATCCTGTGCATAAAAGTATTAGGGTAAGACTACCGAAAACTAAATATTTTACGAGATATTTTGCATTTTATATCGAAGTACTGCAAACTTTGAAACCTTATAACTCAAAAAGTACTTAATGAAAAAACATTTGTCTGTAGTGTTTTGGAAAGCTCTCGAGATAAGCTACAAGAATATGCATTGAAAAATGAGGGTTTCCATTTAAGAAATTAAAGGTGACCTTCACGTAATCTTCAAACGACTATCCAAGGTCAAACCAATGACACCATCTTATGTCCCCCTCGAAGTCACAAAACTTTTGTCTGAAACATTTTTCTTTACAATGTCGCGTTTACGAAAAAATCGGGTGAGACGGGTGGTCTGGGACACCCTGTATATGTATATACTTATCCCGAATGATCTAAAAATTTATACATGATAACTGTTATAAATTCAAAAAATCAAAAATAATTATATTATTATATTTATGTATTCACAACTAATTATAGAGAATATTATTCACGTTTCCCTTTCGCTCATAAATTTTACAATCAGTTTGTAATTATTGCTCATATATAATATCGAAAATTAATTATACTTCCATATTGAAAAAAATATTGTTTATATATATATATATATATATATATATATATATATATATAATCGCAATCAATTAGGTTTCGCTTCGATTATTCAAAAACATAAATTAGATATATCATTATATTACGTTGTTGTTACAATTATGAAAATGGATGTGATGTTTTTTAATAATCAAGATTTTATGGAAGGTAAGATTAAAAAATTTCTTTTACCTTCATTGATAAATCTAATATTAAGATTAAACTTTAAAATAACAGAATCAATTTAGAAATATTCTAAAAATATTTTTTTTACATTAAGATTTATCGAATCGTTCGGAAACGAAGAGATAAACATTAATTTAATTATATCGGCTAAATAGTGTCGACTGGACTCATAATCAGTAAGGCATCTTCTATGTTCTTTCTTAATGCTATAATATTTTTCAAACATAATTTGAAATTTGGCCTAGCACCCGCTGTACGCCAGCAACGTAGCATCAACTGGTACAATATTGACGGACAGTTAAGATTTATCGGATTTATCGGCAGTTTGCCTGCAGCACGTACATAATTTATCAGTTCTTCATTAGACTTGCCAATATAAGGTTGCTCACCCAACGATGTAATTTCCCACATTAAAATACCAAATGACCAAACGTCGCTTTGAGAAGTAAATATGCCGAATGTCAAAGATTCGGGTGCCATCCAGCGAATAGGAAGCGGATCGTCTCCTTTCTAAAACATGATTTTAACAAAAATTTAATTTTCTGGCTCAAGTTGTTCATTTAGAATAAAATATGTACAAAATGAAAAAAAAACTCTTATTTATCTCTTGCTTTATATAAATATAAACAATTTATTTATATTCCATATTATTAAAAAAATGTACAATAATATTATGATAAAAAAATAAAAACATTTTCAAAAGAATTCATTGTTTTAATAATTAACTTTTTGAAATAATTGCATTTACCATGCGATAATAATCATCCTTGTATATATTTCTAGCTAGTCCAAAATCTCCAATTTTAATGACACGATCTTCGCGATTTCTCGAAGATACTAGACAATTGCGACACGCAAGATCTCTGTGTACGAAGCGCAATTCTTCCAAGTAGCAACAGCCTCGTGCAACATCTTCGCACATGGCGAGTAAATCCTGCAAACGCAAGGCATGCAAATCTGACGCTTGCAAATTTCGACAATCTCTCAAATATTTTGATAGATCAGTTTCCATCAATTCCAACACTAATAATGGAGAATCCCCATCTTCACAAATGGCCAACAATCTTAATATATGTTTATGTCGAAAGTGACTCATAAGCTTGGCTTCTTTTAAAAATTTCTTTTTCTCATTCAAAGAAGCATCTTCTCGAAGCGTTTTTATTGCAACAGTGCCCGATATCTCTGTGCGCGATTTTTTTAAGTTCTTCACATTTCCTTGAAACACCTGCGAAATATTTCACACAAATTTAAATATGTACTTCACTTAAACATGTATAGATTAATGTTAAGTATCATTATATTTTATTTTTTATATTAAATAATTTAATGAAAAATATATAACAAAGTACATGTATTCAATGAAAAATAAATTTCATCTAAATTTATGTAACAAAGTACATGTATGTTGTCTCATCTAAATTTTATATTACATATAATCTACTATAAAAATTCATATAATTTGTGTCCTTATTAGAAAAGGTCTGTTTTCTTGATCTAGAAATTAATTTGAAAAAACTAATTTTTACCTTTCCAAATGCGCCGCTACCAAGAGGTTTTGTTAATGTGATTTGTTTACGTTCGATTTTAGTTATCGCATATTCATCCGGATTATAATGTAACATAGGACTGTAAAGCATATTCAATCGAGTGTTTTGGCAAGGTAGAATCGCTAATTCCATGTCGGCCAATGTTGAAGGCAAAAATTGCTTTTTATTATTTCTGCGTCGATGATATACTGTTATAAAATTCCGATTTAATTATGTAATAATATGCATTATAAAATTTATCGTTTTTTTTAGTAAATTTATTAGTTTAATTTTATATAAGTAAATCACTAGTATATATAAATTAATAATTTCAGTAAATCTCTAGATATTATATAAGATATACAGGATGGGTCAATAACTCTGTCCACCTCGAATATCTCCATTATTTTTAGAGATACAAAAATTTTGTCCGTATAAAAGTTGTACGGTATCAAGAGGGCCGTAATATGCTACTAATAATTTTTTTGTAGGTAGAGGCGCTTTAGAGATTTCAAGGTCATCTCCATTTTTTTAAATGGGATGCCCCATTTTTTATTACCTATTCTTATAGCTTATCTCGAGAGCTTTCCAAAACACTACAATAAAGTATTTCTTCATTAAGTACTTTTTGAGTTATGAGGGTTGAAATCATTTCTTAATTTTACATAAACCATAAAATATCTAGTAAAATATTTATTTTTCGATTATTTTACCTTAATGCTTTTAATATACAAAATAATGAGAATAATCAATTGTGGTGTTAAGAAAACATACAGTTGTTTTTAAGAAAAAATATGAAATTTTAATTGCAAATTACATATCTTTTTTTACAAACTATTTTTTTTACATGAATTGATTTCTTTCATTATTTTGTATATAAAAGTATTAAGATAAGATAATAAAAAAAATGAATATTTTACTAGATATTTTATGGTTTATGTAAAATCAAGAAATCATTTCAAGTTTCATAACTCGAAAAGTACTCAATGAAGAAATACTTTATTATAGTGTTTGGAAAGTTCTCGAGATAAGTAATAAGAATAGGTAATAAAAAATGGAGGGTTCTATTTAAAAAAAATGGAGATAATCTTGAAATCTCTCAAGCGCCGCCACCTAGAAAAAAATTATTAGTAGCATATTACGGCCCTCTTGGTACCGTACAACTTTTATAAGTACAATATTTTTGTATCTCTAAAAATAACGGAGATATTCCAGATGGACAGAGTTATTGGTCCATCCTGTATACGTATAATCTACAATTTAAGTTGATACCTACATCAAATATACTTACAATAATAAAAGTAGCAGATGCAGATTATAGTAACTATAATGATAAAACTTAACATCAATGATA